TCGGGAATCTCCAAGCTGTCTGTGCTGTCAGGATCGCTACCAGACCGCAGTTTTGTATGGCTCCTTTTTTGGTATTTTCACACAAATCCTTCTGCTAGTTGGTGTTAATCCACTTCTATATCCTCCCCTTCAAGGCTAAGGGGTCCAAGATTATCTTCCATGTCTCTGTTAGTTGGTTTCCCTTTTCTTTGTTGAAGAGGGTCTGTGCAGTCTTTCTGCCTAGTCCACCATCTTGCCGGAACTCCTGTTCTCCTACAATTAATTGATTGATCAGTCTAAGGAGCATGTATTTACCTGATGTAAATGTTCACTCTATATGCCTGTCTGTTGTTTGGCTGGAAGCCACAGAAGTGAGTTCAGTTTCAGACTGGAAGGGTAACTAGGGGGCCATAGTCATTAAAGTATCACCAGCCTCTATTAGACCAGTAAACGTGGTCATTTTTATGATTTTGAGTTTTGTTCCACATTATTCTCCCACTGTATCCAGGATCTCTTGCACTGATACCTTTACAAGTGGTTGACAGTGGTAGCCAGGCACCATATAGTTCTTTTGGTCTCATGGTCATTTATGTTGCCTGTAACTCTTGCACATCTCTCCATGTCTTCCCTTTCCTTACTTATGTTGTGCTGGTCACCCACTATTTGTAGATTGCCTTTCCTTCATTCAAATTCATATGTCTCTTATTTAGTTCAATTTTCCTTTCCCTCCCCTCTCATCCCTGGCAGCTATCAAAGAACGTTTCTTTCTGTGTGTAAACCTTTCCTTGACTTTTTATAATAGTGGGTTCATACAATACTTGTTGTTTTGTGATTGATTTATTTCATTCAGCATAATGTCCTCCAAGTTCATACATATTATGAGGTGTTTTGTGGATTCTTCATTATTCTTTAATGTTCCATAGTATTCTATTGTGTGTATCATCTGTTGATGTGCACTTATGTTGTTTCCATCTCTTTGCTATAGTGAATAGTGCTGCAATGAACATTGGTGGGCATATATCTATGTGTGTCCCAGCTCTCAGTTCTTTAGGATATATACCTAGTAGTGGGATTACTGGATCAAATGGTATTTCTTCCCTGTATTTTCAGTGACTTTTTGCTTCCTTCCTGTATGATGTTCTTGATGTTGTTGTTGTTGTTAAGTGCCGTCGAGTCATTTCCGACTCATAGCGACCCCATGCACAGCAGAACGAAACACTGCCCGATCCCGTGCCAGCCCCACA